TCTTATACAATAAAGGAACTTCGGGAGGCATTACCATCCCTGACTTCAAACTCTATTACAGAGCTTCAGTATTGAAAACAGCTTGGTATTGGCATAAAAACAGAGAAGTTGACCAATGGAATCGTATAGAAGATCCAGATTTTAACCCACAAACCTATGAACACCTCATTTTCGACAAAGGAGCTAATTTAATTTTTAAAAAAAATACCATGATTCATTTTTCTCATTTTGCTTTTGTTTTGTCCTGTTGTTGCTGTTTTGCTTTGACAGGTCCAGTACGAGTGGATAAAATAAACATGACAACATTTTCAACCACTTTAAATCACACCAGTCTCAGAGACATCTGGTATACCATGATTGGGATCCCAGGACTAGAAGATGCACACATATGGATCTCCATCCCCATCTGCTCAATGTACATTGTGGCCATTGCAGGCAATGCACTGCTATTATTTCTGATCTCCACTGAATGGAGCCTACATGAACCTATGTACCTTTTCCTCTCAATGTTGGCCCTGGCTGATATCTTTCTGTCCACAGTCACAACACCAAAAATGTTAGCAATCTTTTGGTTCCAAGCTGGAGGCATTTCTTTTGCCAGTTGTGTGTCTCTCTTTGTGGCAGAGTCTGCCATACTGCTGGCTATGGCATTTAACCGTTATGTGGCCATCTGTTACCCACTAAGATACACCAATATTCTAACACCATCTGTCATCATTAAAATGGGCATTGCATCCGTGACTCGAAGCTTCTTCATCTGCTTCCCCCTGATCTTCCTTGTTTATCGGCTCACTTACTGTGGGAGGAACATCATTCGACACTCCTACTGTGAACACATGGGCATTGCCAGGTTGGCCTGTGACAGCATCAAAGTCAATATTTACTATGGGGTAATAGTGGCCCTATTTTCCACCTGCCTAGACGTGGTACTGATCATTATCTCATATATCCTTATCCTTTGTGCTGTGTTTAGAATTCCTTCTCGGGAGGCCCAACTCAAGGCTCTGGGTACATGTGGTTCCCATGTATGTGTAATTCTCTTGTTCTATACACCAGCTTTTTTCTCTTTCTTTGCTCACCGTTTTGGTGGTCACAGTATACCACTGCATGTGCACATTCTCCTTGCTAACCTGTATGTGGTTGTACCACCCACAGTCAATCCCATCATTTATGGCGTGAAGACTAAGCAAATTCAAGAGAGAGTTATGCAAATCTTTTCTTTAGGCAAGACATTTTGTTGACATAATCTAGGCAGCTTAGTTCAGTTCTTTATAATTTTCTCATGAACTATAGAACTCAAGAGTATCTGAAGCTACAATAGAAATGTTAAATCAAGACATCATTAGTGATGGTTATCATTTCATTTTAAAGCAATCAAGATAAGGGTGAATTCTACTCAGCATATATCTTGTTCAGAACAATACTAGAACAAGGACACATTATTTCATGTACTATTTTCATCTTTGTTGCAACATACATATTCATAACAGTTAAAAAACTTTTAATTTTGTGTTAACATACAAAACAGGAAAATAAACAATATGGACCTTGTTCATACACCAAACAAATAGAGCCTGCAGTTTCAGACTAATTCAGTCATTTGGGTTCCAAGTTCAAGTTTCATATTTAAGATGTTTGATTTTGGTCAAGAATAATTAAACTTTTTACATTTGTATACATACATCTTTAATTTTCATTGATAGATGGATGGATAGATAGATAGACAGAAATGAATGACCTATAGAAAACTCTTAAACTAGTGCCAGGTATGATATTAAAATAATAATTTTGTCTATTATTTATTACTAGCAATTAATACAGAATATAAATTTGACAATCTGAGAGACTTGATTCCTTTTAATTACATTTCTTCTCTCACAGGAAATAATCCTGTAGCGAGTAAATGTTAAGTATCTTCACTGTACATATAAAAAAGACTACCAGAGAAATATTTTTAAAATAATGTTTTATCTTCCATACCAATCCCAGTTCTCCTTCTCTACCATTCTCCCACTATCCCACCTTCTACCTATTCCATCCCCAATTCACTTCTCAGAGAGGGTAAGTACTTCCATGGGGAGTCAAAACGTCTGTCACATCAACTTAAGGAAGGACCAAGTTTCTCCCTTCTGTATCTAGGCTGAGTAAGGTACCCCTCAACAGGAACAGGGAATGGGCCTCAAAAAGCCAGTTCATACACTAGGGAAAAAAATCATCAACCCCCCACCAGTGGCCTTACAAACAACCCAACCCATACAACTCTCACCCACATTCAGAGGACCTAATTAGGTCCTGTGCAGGTCCCAGCTGTCATCCAGTCAATGAACTCCCACTGTCTAGTGTCTGTGAGTTTCTCCATCATGATCTTGATCCCTTTGCTCATATTATTGCTCCTCTCTTGCTCCAACTGGACTAATGTAGTATTGATAGAGGCTGCTCATTTGTTTCCAGCTGCCCAGACCCAAAATAATCACTTAGAAACTCTATTATTTGCAATACTGTGTTGCCAAATAGCTTAAGTGTTTTATAAGAACTAACTCTTATATCTTAAATTAACCCATTTCTATTATTTTCTATTTTAATATGAGACTCATGGCCTACCAGCAAGGTTCTGGCTAGTGGCTAGTGTCTTTCTCCCCTGGTAGCTACAAGGTGTCCCTTTGACTCTGCCTAATTTCTTCTAGCGTTCAGTTTAGTTTTCCCATCTAGCTCTATTCTTCCCTATCACAAGCCAAAGCAGCTTCTTTATTCATTAACCAATAAAAGCGCCACCACTGCCAAGCTCAAATCTAGTTGTTTTAATCTCAACATCAGAATAAAAATAAAAAAAATCTAAGGAGTAAAGTAAAAAGTACAAGTTGGCAACAAATCAGTGTTTAAGACTGAGGTCAGCAATCTGTAATCAGAGCTGAGAAGAATCCATAGGGTACTCCCTACATCATCATCAATACCCCAGTAATGCTAAAGCATGCATAGGCAGACCATTTATTGCAGATCTCCAATTGTTCCTATCCTGGGCAGTCCTAGACGCTTGTGTTATTGTCATACCCAAGGTTCCACAGTCTTCCTTTATGCTGTTTACCCAGTGTTCCTTGGGCCTTCCACTCCATCTTATCCCGTACACTTCTCCAAGCAGTGCTATCTTTGGGGATCTGCTGCCATTCATTCTCATAACATGGCCAAACTATCTCAAGCACCGTTGCCATACCCAGTCGTTTACTTCCTTCTAGAGATGGAGATGTTTCCTCATGTCATCATTGTACGGCCTACCCTTCGTGTGACACTTAGAATCATCCAGAGATGTGCCATCTCAAACACATTCAGTCACTGCTCTTAGGAGCATTTCATGGTCCAGGTTTTGGAGTTGTAAAGAAGGCAGCTCAAGACAGGTGTCTCCTGTACTTATATTTTTGTTGTTGTCGTTATGTTCCTTATGTCTTTCCTAGTGCATGGAATGTAGTTTTCATTATCCCTATACGCCTCTTGATGTCTGAAATAATTTCCTCCTTTGAACTGAGGTCTCCTCCCAGATAGACAAAGTTGACTATTTGCTCAAGTTTCTGATTCTTTATTACAGTGTTAACATCTTGTGTCCCCTTCCCATGTGTTGTTAATCAATCTTCTCAATGTTTGCTTTAATGTCAAAGTTTTCACTGAATTCCACCACTCTATTTACCATGGCCTCAGCTCATTTGGACTTTCAGCAAGTGGTGCAGTACAGTCGGCAAAACACAAGTTATTGGTTCACACAAAACCTATCTCGTCATCCTTCAGGGCTGTTGCTTTTATAATTACAAAAATATATTAAAGAGCATTGGAGAGAGGACACATCCCTGCAACACTGCTATGATTGTCTTAAACGAATCACTTAGTTATACACACACTTTGACTAGTGCAAAGATGTCTTTATAGGCATTTTCCAGTAATCTTATAATTTTCTCTGTACCTATAGAACATCATCATTTTCCAAAGCCCTTTCCTCCAAATGCTATGTCATATGTTTAGCCCCTCTACATATAGTTGTAATAAAACTACTACTGAACACATTCTGTACTCACTGATAAGTCCTGGGATATCACTGGAGAGCTATGTCAGGGGCTCTATTTAGCCCTTCCTCGAGGATGGCTTCCAGGGCCCAGAGAGGAAGAATTTGGCATTTCTATGTATTAAAAGTAGAGAATGCTAAGTTAATTGATACAATGATAATTTGATTCCTACAAACAAAACAAATGTAACTTAAGTAAGAATAAACTCATTAAATTAGAGTTCCTCAGAGATCAGCTTTTACTTCCACTGAGCATAAATTTTCATTAGAATCTGGGGTAGTGATTTATGTTCATTTGTTAAAAGTAAACCACTAAACAAAGACTATAGCACAGGGCATACTCATCAATCTGTGTGCAGTGCTCTGAGCATCCCAGGGCACAGCACACAGTGCTCTGAGAATAACTGGGTACACTAAGAGCACAACAGCAGATTAAAGCAAAAGGATCAACATGAAAGTTTATGACAAAATTAGTCATGGCAATTTTGAGTTGAAATTAAATAACAATGTTGAAATGTTATTCCTTTGCAGAACTAAAAATCCCAGAAAATTGAGTTTATCCTGTCTTTCCATGCAAGAAGTTGTCAGTTTCTATAAATAAACTTTCTTTTCTAGCTAAATCAAATTACTCAGTGCAGCCGGGCAGTGGTGGTGCACGCCTTTAATCCCAGTACTCGGGAGGCAGAGGCAGGCGGATCTCTGTAAGTTCGAGGCCAGCCTGGTCTACAAGAGCTAGTTCCAGGACAGGCTCCAAAACCACAAAGAAACCCTGTCTCGAAAAACCAAAAAAAATAAAAAAAATATAACAAATTACTCAGTGCAGAAAGATGCTCATAAGTTTGTGCTGCCTTTCTATGAATGTATTAAAGACTGTTTTATTCAGCCCTTGCTATTCACTTACAGTTTTTATTTCACTGAATGTCAGGATGAAGACAAAATTGTCCTTACTACATTTTTGTTCCATGAATAACAAAAAAAATCAACCCTGAATTTCTGTGTTATAGTTTCTTCCCAATCATAATATATAAGATACTACCATTGACTTTCTTTTAACGTTGGCTCTTTGAATTTTCATTTATTATATGGGATTGCATTATGACATTAGTAAAGAACAATGTCATCTACACAGCTATAATGTCTTGGCTCTAGAATCCTTCACCTTTATCTTGGCATTTCTCTCCTGTAGGCATTGAACTCTGCTTTAGCGGAAATGTCATATAGCATTTCCTAAGAAACCAAACCTACCCTGCTACCACAGAGTAGCATGTCTATTACCATAAAGAAATCTCTCATGATGTTTTTAAATCATTTTTTAAGTATCTTATTTACTGCAGAAGTCCATCATGCTGACATTTTTATTAAATATTCTTGGATTTTCAGATTTAGGAAAAATCATTGTGAGAACCTGGGTCATACCTGGGGTGACACACTGTTGTGCCTTCTACTTCATCCTTACTGTATGCATTTTATGCAGACTTGAGGGTGTCTTCAACTCACAGATTAAAAAATAATATGACATTGAGATTCTAAGATTTCTCCATACCCAGGGAAACTTAATATAGCTTTCCAATAATCTCACCCTATTCCATTCTCCATGGAGAAAAGAATTCAAGCATATCTCAGGCATCTGTATTTGTTCTTGGTATATAGAAACAATATCCATTGGCATTATACAATTGTAAGGTTAAATAACCCTGAAGGATATACTTTTATGTGTGATTCTGCATCATCCATGATACTCTGTTGTCTCTTCATCATCTATCATAAGTAAAACTCATCAATCATAATCCATATGATAATATATGAATAGGTTTCACTTATAGGAAATAATATACTGAACACTTTTCAATGTCAAATAAGTAGCTTTATTACTGTACTAAAGAATTAATTTCTATTTTATTCATCACTCTAAATTAGGATTGATTCCAGTGTTGCCTTATACAAATACTATTCAACAAAGTGATGAGCATAGTTTCCAGTCTGCTTATTTGCTATATGTTCAGGTGAATTATGTGCCATGAATTTCTAATACCATTACTTATTTTGTATAAAAATATAACACTGGTTATTTCATGAGTTTAATAACTGATATATGGGAATGTATTTTAAACTAAGATGTGCTAAGAGCATTCAAATGGATAGTGTATGTTCTTTTCCTACATATCTGTTCTTAAACTAAATTATGAACAGGAAAAC